TGGGAGTTGCAAGGTAGTTTAATTTGTCAGAATTTGATTAAATTTATGACTAAGTAATTATATGTTAGGGTTTTTTACTAATTTTTTTTTCATGTAGTGAGTAAGATTTCTAGCCTTATTTCAAAATTTTGACACCTTAATTGATAACTAATTAATGATAGCTAAGAATATAATTGTATAATCCAAAATTATAGAGTGGATGAGGCTTGTTCTCCAATTATAGATGGTTATTATGAAAGATATAGGTATACATACTTATCTTTGTTATTAATCAATAAACGACAAATAAGATAATTGGTTGATCAATGGCTTGTGGGTTCCTTTTGATTTAGAGTTATCTTAGTTGTTTCCTTTTTAGTACTCAAATTCTAGACTACTTCCTCTTAAATTCATCAAAAAAAAAAAAAAAATTCATCCTAATCAATGAAGGTAGCATATCTCGGTTTCTATCTCTGAATATATGTTCTTGGAGTGCATTACCTTCTCTTCTAATTTATTTGTTATGCTAATTTCACCGTATTTTTGTTTTGAATTTGGACTTTGGGCAAATCTAACCGATGTATTTTCCTAGTTTATTCACAAGTACAGTACTCTTCTAATTCTTCAATTATCATGAGACTTGTTCCCTTTTATAATTGAGTGAGGTTTAAGGGATTAGTTGTGTGATTCTTTTAACAAGTTACATAGGCCGTTAATTAATTGTTAGGGTTTTATCAAGATGCAAAGTTAAGTTCAATCTAAACTTTAATTTACTTTTTTTTTTCTTTGAAGAACATCATAAAGCTGAACTATATGGGATGCAATTATTTACACTATGGTTAATTTTCACTATTTTGTACTTCCTACGCACCTCATTACCTAGGTAACAGAAGCACAATTAAAGATTCCATAATTTAGTTTATTTAGTAGAGTTTCTCCTTAATTAAAGAATGATTTCTAAACTGTTTAAATAATTTCACCACCACCCTGCTTCTCTGTTATCAATAAACATTCTTCTAGTCCTAGAAGGCATATACAATTTGAGATTCATGTTCCATTTATAAGTTACAAGCAAATAGGCGGCACTTACACATAGAAGACATGAATGATTCAGATCCCCATAGAGCATCATTACTTTAAGAGATTTCTAACTCACCAACATGCTTATTTTTCTTATCACCAAAATTTATGACATAATCACACCTAAGCTGCCCAAGTAGCACTTAGTTTTAATGATCTCAATGCAAGCCATCTTTTATACAAGAAAAATTCCTCAATGACCCAAAATATAAGACCAACAAGGGGGACATGTGAGATGTCCTTCTCCAATTACATAATGAGCTGGTCATCATTAATGATTGTCAGCTCAGTATGCAATAGGAGTGGGGCACCTCACTTGTCCCCCCTGTTGGTCCCATATTTTGAGTCCTTGTAGCAAAACCATTTATACAATTTATTTCCTTTTCTTTGTTGAAATATCTGGAGACATCAATTAATTCCAGCTTAAGACTAGCTTGAGCTAAGCATGGAGTTAATTAATTAAACATATAAAAAATGCTATGCCTTTCTCTTTCTACTATGCAATTGTCTGCAAACCTAAGAACAAACCTATGCCACTCCGCTTACAAGTTCACCATCTTTTGAAGCTAAACCAGTATTAATTACTGGCCCACATAAAAGTTAGGAAAAACTGGTCCGTGCGAGAGTAGCCTATAGTTTTAGACTTGGCTTTGTGCTTCAATACTGATTATATGCTTGTTTCCTCGTGATAATTGACTTTTTTTTATCCCTGTTAACTTTTTGTAACTATATATTCATTGACTTTTTAGCAACACGGTTAACATAATTATGGTAATTCTACATATATATTTGAAGGTTCATATTAGTTTTCCGTCAGTGAGCGAGTAAATGAGGGCTCTTCATGCATCTGGCTAGTGTGTTGCTAATATAAAACAGATCTAGACTATCTACTATGATTTGGAACATGGTAATGATCTGAACCAGGAGAGCGTGGATGTGTGTCGTGTTAGTAACACGCTAATAAAGTGCATGGAGGGACACCCAGTCTCCATTTGGCCAAAAGATAGTTTATGACAATTTTATGCAAGATCACTAGCGTTCCATCTATGAAATTTAAAGTTTTATTCCTCCAAATATGTTGGTTGGCAATTAGAGACACATGTACATAATACTTATTAGGTTAGACTTTTTGACCCGTAGAAAGCGTATTTTTAAGTTTTAGCACGATTTCATTTGGCTCAGAGAGATGCAGAATAGGAGCCACTCCGCAGAACGAGTGGTACTTCTTCAGTCACAAGGACCGCAAATACCCAACAGGATCACGCACCAACCGAGACAGGCCGCGACAAGTGCATCCGAACCAGCTACAAGAAGATCGGCATGCGTAAAACCCTCGTGTTCTATCGCGGTCGCGCTCCTCATGGACAGAAGACTGACTGGATCATGCATGAGTATCGCCTCGAGGAATCCGATGACGATCAGGGCGGCGGCAGTGTAAGCCTCCTCTCTCTGCATCTGTTACGGGTATTTTCATAAATTGTTTCGATTAGAGAGAGATACCAGCAAAATTCATGGCGACTAGTAATTTGTACGTGGTTTGCTGTTAGCATGTGGTACTTTTATGCTGATTTAAAAAAATGTGATTAAAAGCACTCATAATTCATGATAGTTTCATCAAATTAATTTATCCTTTTCAATAGTTTACATGAAAGAATTAATTACGGTTGTTCACTCTTTTATTGCAGGAGGATGGATGGGTGGTGTGTCGTGTTTTCAAGAAGAAGTGCTTCTTCAAGACCGACGGGAGCGAAGGGAGCTCGAGCCAGGGCAACTGGTGTGTCGTGTTTTCAAGAAGAAGTGCTTCTTCAAGACCGACGGGAGCGAAGGGAGCTCGAGCCAGGGCAACGATGCCAGCCACACAACGACCGCGATGACTGCCTACGACCAATCTCGACCTCTCTACCTCAACCACCAGCACAATTTCCACCACCACCTCCACCCCCAGACCGCGAACCTATACAAGCCCGAGGTAGCCTTGCACTACCCCTCTCATCACCTCCCGACTAATCCCTACTCCCAAATCCAGGTGCAAGACCTCCTCCCCAACCCTCGGGCACAACCTGCCGCCTATGACTTCTCCGTGCTACCTGGAGACGCGGCGGGCATGGTCAATGTCGACGGGTGCGACCAAATGAGCCAGCATGTTGATGATCAAGGAAGAGAAGCCGCTAGTGGGACCGATTGGGGTGTCCTTGATAGCATGGAAGGGAGGTACGGTGGTGCTGGGCAGCAGATGAATCAAATGTCCCAGCCGCCGAGAGGAGGAGGAGAGATGGAGTTGTGGGGCACAACCTGCCGCCTATGACTTCTCCGTGCTACCTGGAGACGCGGCGGGCATGGTCAATGTCGACGGGTGCGACCAAATGAGCCAGCATGTTGATGATCAAGGAAGAGAAGCCGCTAGTGGGACCGATTGGGGTGTCCTTGATAGCATGGAAGGGAGGTACGGTGGTGCTGGGCAGCAGATGAATCAAATGTCCCAGCCGCCGAGAGGAGGAGGAGAGATGGAGTTGTGGGGGTATGGAAAGTAACAACATGGTTTGGTTTGTGAATTAGGAGGCTCATGTATCCCTTCAAACTTTTAGTTGGTGTATCGCTGATGTGATCGAGCACATCTATTCAGATCATCCACAAGTTCAAATCATAGATGACGATCTGAATGGGCACTACGTAGGCACTACGTCAATCCCACTCCGTGGCAAAACAATAGTTCATTTGGTATATTCCTTTCTTCTGTTGCGATTGATTGGGGTTACGGGTAACCCTTGTGTAATTTTACATTGACAATATGTGCATATTGATTGTATTGTACTATTCTTATTGGTAATCTAACTCGTGGTGATTTGGTGAGTAGGGTGGATCGTGAATAAGAAAAAGTTGCTTAATAATCCTTTGGTTGTGTAGAAGTTGTTGTAATAAGGATCCAAATCCATCAATTATAGCTGCGATCGTGCGGAAACTTTAAATTTGGGCAACAATTGATCATTAATTATTCAGTAATATTTTATTAGGGTAATGGCATATTAATTAGTCTCTTAAATCATTCTTAATTGCCGAAGAGTCCCTCAAAGATCCACCTTTATTGCCAATTCGTTCCTCTAATTAGGTGAAGTTATTAATTTGGGCGAAGTTCTGTTAACTCAAACAGAAATGGATGGATTTCCCAGTATATTGCCACCCGAACTCTCTCCAAGCTCAAACTAGTGTTGTCCCAGTAGTCAAATTTCTCTCTAAAACCTATATAATCCTCTAAATTCTTCACTATATACTCCATCCCTTTTCATCTCCTCTAAGTCTAACTTTCAAATGTAAAGTGTTTTCAAGGGCATTTGGGTATTTTACATGTTGGGTTAAGGCTTAACCAAACAAAGGGACGATTTGGCAATAAAAATGAAGACTAGTGTGCACCCCGTGCAAAGCACGACCTCCATTTTTTTATTTCCGCTATAGTAATTCTGTATTTAAATACAGTTTTTCGTAAAGTGCTACAGTAACATTTTTAAATGCTACAATATCCCGCATGTGCTACAGTGTAATAATGCTATAGTAAAATTTTTAAACGCTACAATTCCCTTCTGTGCTACAGTAATAATTCTACAATAATTTATTTCATGTCTGTGCTACAATATTTGCTGTAGCGTTTACTGTAGCATGAATAATGAATATTGGATTCTCCCAAGAGGAATAGATTTGAGGGGCTTGTTGGCAAATACAGAGATTGAATAGAATTTTTTTGGCAATTAAAGATGATATAAGGGATAATTTGCAATTACCCCTATTTTATCATGTTAAAGTTTAGACAAATTTTCTGCATGTATTGTTCGCCAAGAAACGATTGATTTCCTATTAGGTGGGATCGGGTGCGTTTGGATCCGAGCTTAAAACGGACCCGACCCAGCAACCCCGGTAAACAAAACCCTCTCTTAAACCCTGCTCGCGGGTTCCAAATCAAATGACCTACAAAATTAGGGCAGAGATGTTCTCTTCAAATTCTCAGCTCATTCAAAATGGGGAAAATCACTTAACAATCTGAGGTAACCAATCTCTGCGATTTTTTTAATCATTTCTCCTTTCAATTTGCTTTAATTTGGCAATGATCAATCTCGTTAGCAAATGGGTTCCTCGAATTTGCTCAAGAGAACACCTCATGCCATTTAAAAACCTAGCTTTTGGATCTCTTCGTTGCAAAGAAGTGTTCTTTATCAACTGCGAACTACCAATTTCTGCAAAAGATCGAATTTTGTCGTCGAAATATCTTTGTTTTCATTCAATCAAAAGAGCATCTATTACTGAGTGGGCACCTTGTATTTCGTTGAAAGGTCAAGTTTTTGCATCAAATTATCACAACAGAGCAACCTTTGTGAGATGGATATCTCATAATTTTGTGAATAATCGAGTTTTTTCATCGAAACATGGAGGTTCTCGTATAAAAATCCCAGTTTTGGGCAACACTAGAGGTTTTAGCTCTGTGGGTGCTGCTCCTAATGATCCAAAGCCTGCATTTCGAGGCCATCGAATAATATCTCAGGCCCAAGAGGCTCTTATGGACTATCTCCATTTTACAACAGGCTTAGAGTTCTCTGATGCTGAGCACATGAGCAAAAACTCCCCCAGTTTTCTTAACAAGATCTTGGACAAGGTTGAGAAGGAGGGTGAAGATATCGAAAGAGCATTAACGAGGTTTTTCCGATATCATCCTCCTAACGAAGTCGAAATTTTCTTTGAGAGCATGGGTCTGAAACCTTCTGATTTTAACTCGTTACTCCCTCGGGACTTGTTTTATCTCAAAGATGATCTGGAATTGCTTGATAACTATCATGTCCTTTGTAATTATGGTATTGATCGTAGTGAAATAGGAAGGATTTACAAGAAGGCTGCTGATGTTTTCAAGTATGAGTGTGGTGTGTTGGGGTCCAAGCTTCGGGCTTATGAGGAATTGGGTCTGAGAAAGTCTAATGTTATTAAGCTTGTTGTTTCGAACCCGCCTCTTCTGATTGGGGATGTAAATAAAGAGTTTGCTAAAGTTCTAGAAGGGTTGGAAGATCTTGGTCTGGAGCGTAATTGGATTGGAGATGTTTTGTCTGAAAAGGATTTCTATAGTTGGAGTAGAATGCTCATAGTTCTGCAATCTTGTTTCGAAATGGGGTTCACTAAACAAGAATTAGAGGCTTTGATAAGAGAACATCCTGATTTCTTGCTTGATGGTTCTGGGCGAACACTATTTTCATTGATTGGATTTCAACTGAAATTAGGTGCAACAAGAAAGGAAATATTCAGCCTTCTATTAAATTTCCCTCAGGTTCAAGTTGGGAAGTTCATGAAAAATTTGCGGCAGGGTTTAGTATTTCTTGTGGAGCTTCAAATGGATCCTGAGGATATCAAAATGCTTTTGTGTACTCATAAAGAAATGTTTGGTAAGCACACTTTGAAGAAAGCTAGTAGCGTTGTTAGCTTACTGCAGACAAGTAGCAAGAGGTTGTGTACAATAATAAAGGACGATCCACATCAACTGAAGAATTATGTTAAAGGGTCTAAGCTAAGCGCTCTTCCTTGCACTCGAGATGATGAATTGTGTCATATGCAGAGAAGAAAGTTTCTCTTGTGTTTAGGGTTTGTCGACAACTCCAAAGACATGGAGAAGGCAATGACTTATCTCCGTGGCAAAAGCGATGAGCTTCAAGGGCGATATGATTTATTGGTTAAATTTGGACTCAAGAAGGATGATGTGTATACTATGATTAAAAAGTCTCCAATTGTGTTGAACCAGACGGTAGATGTCCTTGAGAAAAAGATTAATTTTCTTGTAAAAGAATTGGGTTATCCCTTAAGTACACTTGTCGAATTTCCGAAAATTTTGGCATACACTATAGAAAGGGTGAAACTCAGGTTGTCAATGTACACGTGGCTCAGGGATAGAGGAAAGGCATCACCTACGTTAGCATTGAGTAGTATCCTTTCTTGTTCCGATGAGAAATTTAGAAAGTGGCTTATTAGTGGTCATCCACAGGGTCCTAAAGTGTGGGAAGAGTTTAAGGCAGAATTATACTCAAAGTAATTATTTCGAAAGAGAATTCTTGTAAGTTATCTTTACTTGTGATTTTTATTGAGATTGTAAAGTGAATTTATCTCAGCTCATCGTCCTGTTATTGCAAACAAGTCTTACTTCCTGCAATTTTTGATTTAATATGGTGCAAATCTTAAACATTCTAATGTATGAAAATATGTTGTGGTGAATCACCATATGGAAAATATAGCATGTGAAAGGCCTATGTATTATACTTCGTTGTTATTCTGCAACTTCATCTTTTTCATTGAATGAACATGCACAGATTTCTTCCATGGGTATTTCGACACATACAACAAGTTGGACTATCGGTGTCCTTTATTGTAGAAGATCCTGCTTTTTTGTTTTCTCTTAAGTAGTTTTAATTGACCGGTTATTTGGTCTATGCCTCGCCTAATAAAGTTCATGCTCTTAGATAAATGAGTGAATAAATGAGCGAGGACACTCTATGGCTCTTAAAAATGGTTGTTGGTTTTGTTCTAAATGAGTAATTTGTGCTCTCCCGAAGCTTAAAAGTGTGGATTCACACTAAATATTAGCTGATAATACAAGTTTGTCTAAAAACTTGTGTTAAAAGGGCGAAATTTGAAATACGAAGATATGGAAACGAGAAGGCAAGTTTAAGAAAACAACATATTAGGAAACTGCATTACTGTATGGAAACTAACGTTCCATGATCTATAATTGTTTTAAACATATGCCATGGTAGGATTGATTTTAAATTTATTAATTCAAGTGGTACCTAGAGTCCTCGAAAAGCTGATATCTTAAGGTTAGTTATTGTTTTAAGCCATATCATGCAAGAAAAACTAGAAAAACTAGAAAAACCTTTATGCTAATTTCTGAAGGGTCTCTACCTATGAAGCACCGACACTCCAAATATGGCCCCGATTCCGTCTTCGACGCGTGTCGGACACGGACACGCGTTTAACACGCGTCGGACATGTGGTCAACACCCCCAACACGGGTCAACGCCACCGACACGTCGTCAACACGCCGTCGACACGCCAATTTCTGCCGATTCATTCTCAACATGCCGACGCGCTGAGGATTACGAAGCGGTTATTGGGTTTGAAAACCCATTGTTTGTAAACCCATTTTGAAATAAAACCTAAAAACAAAGACCCGATCCCTTTCTCTTCTCTCATCTGGCGGCTGCTTCTCTCTCCCTCTCTCTTCTCTCATCCTAGGGCATCGACTGCTTTTCCCATCTCAACCGCGGCGGCGAGTCGGAGGCCACATAGAGACAGTGAGTCGGCGACCACCCAGAGGCATCGTCTGTTTGCAAGTTTTTTGACCTTTTTTTTCTTTGTTTTTTTTTCGGCTGCTTCTCTCTCCCTCTCTCTTCGCTCTCTCACATCTCCGCTTCGCTAGGCTGCTTCCCCCATCTCACCAGTGACTACCCAGAGGCGGGCAATAGTGAAAGGAGTTTCATTTTTGAATAATCATTGAATATGGAAAGCCGAATATGGAAAGCCGCATAGAGTGGTTCATGATAAAATTCTTCATAAGCAATGCATCATCGGAGATCTCTGTAATCTAATGTAATTGTGCATAAGCCACGACATTTGCTTCTGTGTTCTTAGCAGCACAAATATTCTTGATAGCAAATATTTTGAACTTCTTATGTAGTCCATACACTCAATCTTGCTATCAAGAATATTTGTGCTGCTAAGAACACAGAAGCAAATGTCGTGGCTTATGCACAATTACATTTTGCTATCAAGAATATTTGTGCTGCTAAGAACACAGAAGCAAATGTCGTGGCTTATGCACAATTACATTAGATTACAGAGATCTCCGATGATGCATTGCTTATGAAGAATTTTATCGTGAATCACTCTATGCGGCTTTCCATGTTCAATGATTATTCAAAAATGAAGCTCCTATCGATTACCGACACAAGATTTGCCTCGTGGATTATTATATTGAAGATGTTTAAGGTCATCAAGAGAGGCCTCCAAGACATAGTCCTTAGTGATCGATGGAGCTTGTATAGAGAAGATGATGTGAGAAAAGCTCAATTTGTGAAAGAGAAAGTCCTCGATGATTTGTGATGGGACAAAATAGATTTTATTCTTGACTTCACTGGTCCAATCTATGAAATGATAAGGGTCACCGACACCGATACACAATGTCTTTATTTGGTGTATGATATGTGAGATACAATGATTGAGAAGGTGAAATAAGCTATTTATAGGCATGAGGGTAAAAGGGATAACGAGGAATCTCTTTTTTATGAGGTGATTCACAAGATCTTGGTGGATCAATGGAAGAAGGGCAACACCCCGCTTCAGTGCTTGACATACTTTTTAGTTCCAAGGTAATATTTCACATTTCACTATTTAATACGAATATTTCAAGTAATTAATACCTTGTGGGCTAATTCATGTTATTAACGAACATAGGTACTATCATTCCACATGGTTTAATGAGAACGTCAATCGACAATCTCCAAATCAAGATTTTGAGATCTCTACGGAAAGAGCAAAGTGCTTAAGAAGATACTATCCTAACCCCGATGAACGACGGACGGTGAACTTGGAATATGCTAAGTTTGTGGGGTCTTTGGAGGTTTTTAGTGATCCGGATTCTCTTTCCGATAGAGGACATATGGATCCAAAGTCATGGTGGTTTCTTTATGGTGCAAGTATTCCAAATTTGCAAGCATTGACCGTAAAGCTTCTAGGCCAACCTTGTTCCTCTTCTTGTTGTGAACGGAATTCCAAATTTGCAAGCATTGACCGTAAAGCTTCTAGGCCAACCTTGTTCCTCTTCTTGTTGTGAACGGAATTGGAGTACGTATGGTTTCATCTTGTTGTGAACGGAATTGGAGTACGTATGGTTTCATTCACTCCTTAAAGAGGAACAAGCTAACCCCGGTACGGGCGGAGGATCTTGTTTATGTTCACACCAACCTTCGCTTACTTTCTCGAAGTTCAGAAGAGTATATGGAAGGAGAATCAAGAATGTGAGATATTGATGGAGATGCTTTCGACTCATTTCAAGGTGCCGGCATGTTACATGTTGCTACCCTTTCTCTTGATGCGCCCAGAATGTAGGCCGTTGTGTTTGAGGAGGATGAAGGAATTGAAGACATAAAATAATCTTTTTGATGTTTCAACTTGAAAACTTTATTTTAAGATATGTTTTTGAGTGTAATTTTTATATTTTTGTAATGTTAGTAACTTAGTATTTTGTAGCCATGGAACTAGTTGCAACTTGAACTTTATTCTCTTGTATTTTTATATGCTCAAGATAAAAGTAATGAAAATTACCTATTATCTTCAAATCAGTTACATAACTTACATTTGTAATTGATTATACAAGCCAATGTTACATAATAAAACAACATAAAAATTGATCTATTTTTCTATATGTTCATCTTTTCTTTCTCGTTTTCTTTAACTATTGTCTTCAATTCTCCAAGAAATCATTGTCATCCCGACGTCTTAATTCACACCTGCAACACACACTTTCCTTTAGTTTCTTATTTATAATCTCCACTTTACATAACAAAAATTATGAAAATATAATAGGAATTTAATTCAATATTGATCTATATATAATAATAATATTAAAAAATCTAGCTGTGTCGTTGTGTCCTATTTTTTTGGGTTTTGCCATGTCCGTGTCGTGTCCGTGTCGCCGTGTCCGTGTCCGTGCTTCATAGGTCTCTACTTTCAGTTGTCATATCATGAAGATTTAAAATTTCACAACAACTTCCAACTCGATTCTATTAGCCCTGGAGCTTCATTAACTTACGCTGTGTTCATTTGAATTCTTAAGCTCCTCCATGCTTATAAGTAGAATAGCATTAAGTGCAGGAGGGAGTTTGTCGATCTTCCTTGATTGTATTTGTGATTTTATCATATTCTTGTCAACGTTATCAGGTATATATCGTTTCTGTTTGTTTTATGCCTAAACTCGTGGTTCAACCCCACTTTTTTTTTTTCTAAAATCATTTTAAGTTAGCAAATGTTGCATTCCCTGTTTTGTCAATATGACCTAACTACATTTTAATTCCTTTTACATTGTTTTGTTCTGAGGTAACTAAGTGTTACTCTGTTTTGGTTTTTATTGTCACTGATTCATATATACTGCACTGCATTCCTATGCTTCCATCTTATGAATGTTTCTAGTGACTGGTACTGTCTTTCTAGCACAAACAAACTACTCCCACATAACTGACCTTGATGATGATGGTTTCTCATAGATATAAAGGATATATCAGGAGTCCTTCACAGTTCACAGCAGTTTTAGGAGTCAATGCTATCAATTTCACAAACATTCATGGAACAGGCAATTTGGTCTGGAGTTTTGTACTTACATAATTTAACATCTTTATTTGCAGGAAGAAGAGGCAAATTGTCTGATTTTTTAATTTCCCTTGCATAATTGCAAATATCTGACATTCATTGCTTCAAATCAAGACTGAAGGCATTTGTGTCAAACTCTTCTTGGCCCTTCCGTTTAATGACTTCAATTTTCTTTTTACCGGTGCCAATAGTTTTATTACCTTGTGAGCATCTCATTTTAATTTGTCAAAAAGGCAGTTTGTCATGAAAAACTTCAACCACGGTCTATCATTGAACTTTAGGTAACAAGTTCTGCAAGGCTGATATACTTCAACTTCAGTTATATTTATATTATACATGAAATTTTCATTTAACCAAGTAAAAATTTTCAATGTGCTAGATACTGGACCATTGAATCTGAACATGAGAAACACCATTCATGGAACTTATCAGCTTTGTGCATTTTTTTTTTGTTATCTGGAGGGGTAAAAGGGATTATTATACATGTTAAAATTTGTAAATCTTATTAAATAACTGTATGGCGGTTATATGAGTTGTCTCAATATTTGAAAATATTGATTTTGAAACAGGAGAACAGATTAATCCGATCTAATTCCTTATTCTGTGCTCATGTAAAGCGTCAACGAAGCATATACCAAGTTTTCTGGTGAATTGCTGAATGTGTTACTTTTGTGAATTCAACCTTTCATTGGTCACTTATTAAGTTGTGAGTTGGCCGGTGAAATTGCTGGGCTCTGCATTCAGTTCCAGGTGGGATTAGTGAAGTTGCAGCTATCGCGAAAATGGAACCTTCTCTGGTAAGGGATACGAAAAACATACTGCAATTGTTATCTTATTTGCTAAAGATATGTTAGTTCATCAAAGTGTTGCTATTTCTCATTACACAGTTATACATAATCATCATCGTCAACAAGCTTCATCCTTTCTTTTCTGTGATCAGCTGGTTATCCTTCTTCAGAATAAAATGCATAATGGCCTGATAAATTTTGCTTCCTTCTAATTATTTAACAAGTAACTTGTAAGAGCTTCTCCATTGCCCACTGAAAACCATGGAATATCTAATAAGTATATAAAAAAACTATCCTTGATTATAATGACACGCACCAGGAACGTTTGCGCACAAGATTCCTTTGTTCTGTTTTATTTTCTTACTCATTGTGCATCATATACTATTTTCCTGGTCACTAATTTAGGCCATAATCCTCCAACACTCTCCTCACCAAGTTCTAGTATTCTTCTTTTCTCATTTGGGTCTCATCATCAATAACAGCCAGCATACAGAAAGGAGTATATTTTTTAGCATTAATCCAATGTGAAACAGGTATCATGTAATACTATCAAGAGAAATAGGGTGGAGCAAAGTTTTGTTATGCACCTCAGAATACTTCATTCTCACATAAGAAAGCCCATAATACTGATCAAAGAAGTTCACAAGTTCTTTAACTATCATTTTTAAAGCATGTTTAAAGTCAATGCACATCAAAGGTGAACATATAACACTGTCTTGGCAAACCTCCATGAGTATCAATACAAGATTATCTCACAAAAGAAAGCCCATAATATTGATCAACAGAAGGTCACAAGTTCTTTAACTATCATTTTTAAAGCATGATTAACGCCAATGCACATCAAAGGTGAACATGTAAGGCTGTCTTGGCAAATCTCCATGAGTATCAATACAAGATTATGACAAAAGTTTTTGTAATCAAGACAAACCTTTTGCTAGAAACATGCTTAAGAAGTAATTTTTTTATGCAGCAGGATCAGCTTTGTTTTCATACCCAAGATGAAGAGCAGTTTGATCTTGATGATGTGAATAGTGAGGTGCAGCCTCGAGCATATGAACATTGTAGTAGTTCCTTGAGTCGAATGTTGGAAGAGTGTCAAACTCAGGCCCAGGCTGTACAACACTTACTTGATGTGCTCGCTCATTTTCTGATATCTGAATTCTCCAACAAAATTTGAATTTAGTGAGTATAAACATTAATAAAAAGAAGAAAATTCACGACAAAAGTAAGTCTATTCTGTAGCTGAGAATAATAAAAGTTGGAAGAATGATGTTGGTTACTGGCACGCGTTAACATTTTCTAATTTCTCATAAGCCTAACTTTAGTATTTAGTTATTTCCTGTGTTGACAGAATTCTTTGATGATTGTAGGTATATGAATGATGTAATTTTGTTTTATTGCAAGTGGATGGGACATCACTCAGTTTAAAGAAGGCTCTTTATGGTGAAAAAGAATCTATTCATCTATGCTCAGAGCACAGTATGTTATATGAACTCAGGTAGTGAATTGTGTTTTTCTTTTTATCTAGCTCCTGTTCTTTCTGGTAGCGATTCAGCATTTAATGATCTCAATTGTAGAGTTAGCATTGTATGAGATTATCAACTAATCAAGTTTACATGGGATCACGGTCCTCAGCTTACCCTGTGGTGAACTAGTGACCAGTGAATGTGAAGTAATTATAGTCCAATAAAATTTGGGAATTATTCCTCATAAACTCATATGAGGGAATGCTATATTATCATCATATTACTTGGAAGATGAGCCTTTTTTATGTTTAGCTAATATGTTTCTAGCACTTGCATAATATGACACTCTAGTGGGATACAAAGACAGATGCTTTCACTAGCCCAAAGGGTCGACAGACTCGACACCCTATTGACTGGATGGTTAACTGAACACCAATAATATAGGTATCACTAGCTAGCACAGGACCCTGAAAACTTGAGCCTCATATGATTGTCTAATTAAAAACTCCTTAGCAATGTATCACACTATTAGTTCCATGTATGTCAACCCATTTCTTCAATAATATTTGTAATGAACCGAACCTACATGCATGAGACCTAGATTTTCTGTGAAAATCAGGGACACTGAAAGGTTTCCTCGGTTAATTATGGAAAATCAATGTCATGGACCACCAACTCTTGTTTAAGACTGGATATTAACCTGAAAACTGAAATTTCTAAGTTCAAGGCTAATTATTTCGGTCTAAATTGTGCATCTAGGGGTAACTGAAATGTGTTACCTTAGCTCTGAGGTACATGTTGTCATTCTGAAGTTCCGTTTCCTTCACGCATACAAAATAAAATTACCTTAGGAAGGTTAAATCGGGGAAATCTTAAGAGTAAATTATAGATCTTTTTGGAAGGGGAAAAAGGAGATTACCCTTTTCTGCATGTATTCAATTTCCGCAAACAAGAGCTCATGCTGATAGGAATAAGAGCAAAATATCAGCTTGGAAGCATTGTAAATTTAAGGGTATAGCAGAATACTAATCAAAAGTGACTAATTGAAAATGGTTCAAAGCTCCAAAATTGAAAATCTCTTCATGATTTTATGGTAATCTACCTTCTTTGACCTGATCCTGGTAATGCCCCTTTCAAGTCGGTTCTCGAGCTGTTTGAGCTCCTTCACGGTCAAAGAACTCAGAGAATCACCCATTAGGTGCCTGAAACAGATATTTTGAAAACAATGTGAAGAAAAGATCATAATATTTGGTCAAGTTATGAAGCATCATCCATATCGTGCTAGTAGTTTAATTGTATATTACATAGGAGGCCACCTGTTAGCATTTTGTAAAATCTGTATCTGATGGCGTAACTTTGCTGCTTCTTGCTGATAATATTGCTGCACCCATCATTTCAAGAGAAAAATTTCAGATTTTTAAGTGTTGTTTTTAAAAAACCTCAGTTGTATATACAGATAAAATGGTTCATATTTAGAGTAAAATTAGGAAGTTGTGAGCGTTTGTATAGGAAGGTAGCCAGAGGAGACCTATATCAAAACCAAAATACATTTGAAACTATAAATGTTAGTAGATGACCACACTAAATCTTGCTAAAAATATCTGTTACCATGAATAGGATGGACAAAAAGATTCTGAAGTACCGCAACCTCTTAATTTAGCTGTAACGTCTTTACCATGTATCACATGTCCAGCATTATATTTGTAATAGAGCTGAAGTTAATAAGCCTTAAATATCTGTAGTTATGTATCTGAAGTTCAAAAGAAGATAGTTCTTCAGTGTCGACAACCTTTAGCTCAAGTTGCTGACATATTTCTGCAGTCTGCTACAGATTTCTGCGCAGAAAGTGAATGTAGTAGAATCATGCAATAGACCTAAACACCTTTTTTGCGTGCAAAGCTGACAATGTTTTATTTTTGTGCAACATCTGAATCTCTTATTATTACTACTTAATTCAAAAACTCGATCAAGGCTGTTTAAGGGGTAAATTGTAAAGCCCAAATCCTGAGAATTCTGCCAGGAGAGCTTAAGTTGTACCTGGAAAAAATAGAACTTTTCAAAATTCAAAATTCCCACTACTTCTCTAATGTTTGCCTATTGTTTGCCCTGGTTTGAGACTTTTCTTCCATAATGATATGCTAGCTCTCTAAGCATAGTTAAAAGTCAACAGTTGAAAGTCTTTCTTTTTCCCCCATTGAACTTCATTTTAAGTTTTAAGTATTAATAATGTTCTATTTGGAATTTGAGCTGTTTCCGCATATTATTTCAGGTTTAATGAGATTTGCTAAGGTGAATTAAGTGGGAGGAACGTAGGAGTATTCTGAATCCGTCTCTGACTACAGAGTCCTGAAATTGATCGTCGATCTTGAAGTTATTCATCATTTAATCAAAATAGCAAGGAGATGTAACTCATGGTAATTAAATCAGCAGTATACTAGATTCTTGATAATTCTTGAACTTGTTATAAAAATTCATTTAGAGCGTGCGAGCACACCTATACAATCTGTTGCCAGCAAAGTCGCAAGACTGTTATTCTGAATGTTCTTAAAATGTTTGTATAATAACTGAGTCACTGACATTATCTACAATCATCATACGTAGGGATGATGCAACTCTGATCGAGACGGCATCAGTACATTATAAAATACATCTTCAAATCTATGAAGGGAGCCTGAAATGAGGTTTATGTCAGGCTCGGGGGGGCAGCTTAAATATCTTTTCCCAAAAAAAAAAATTATGACGAAGGATTGTTGATCCCAGCAGTTCAAAGGTGTGATATCAAAGCTGGATGTCTAACATTTAGAAAGCTTGTAATATGCTAATATTAACTTTAAAGAATTTATTTGGAAGAGAAGAGAAGCTGGTTACCTGAGAATTGACCTCTATAACTGCATTTGAATTGGAACTATCAGCACATGCTTTCTTGTACCTCTCGATGGTTGATTTTATGCTGAATCCAACGATAAAAAAATTACTATTTGGAAAATGTCAATAGAGCTTAAATGCTACTGAAGAAAAGAAAAGATAAGGTGTGTTGTGCATAAAATTTACAATGCATGATTGCATCACAAGAAAATTTGAAGAACACCCAGCCTACTTAAACAACTTCTGTTCTCCAGTTAAAACTAAACAAATATCCAAGCACTGGTTAATAGGTAAAGGTATGAAGTTGAGTGAAGAGAAATCCTAGTTTCAAGTCCATTTTATGACAGTTTTTTTGAAGCAAAAAAGAATAAAAATATGGTTAATATTATTCTATTATAATTATGTATTTGATTTTTCATTGATCATGTGATGAGCTTGTTACATTGTTTTTGATACGAGTCGCCGTGCGAGCACCTTTAATTGCCGAATTATTAAAGGTGGGTTGAGAAGATGATGACAGAAACATAAGAATAATTCAGTATGTGACAAAGAAAAATACCCTCTCTAAATTATGATATGAAAAGATTACAATCCCTCTCTCACAATCTCACTAGAATCGAGAACAAACTCTCAATTCTCTCTAAACCCTAATCTCTCTTGATTAGAATATCTCTTTGATTACATCTGATTAGAAACCCTAAAACAATCATTTATATACGTGTAACAACGTGGATGACAAAGTGATAAATAACCAAGCCCAAACCCCATAGGAATTCGTGCACACAGAAACCCAAACGAACCAAGAAACCATCGATGAGTCGACTCATGTGCATATATAAGTCGACTCATGACACATGGGTCGACTCATGACAAGCATGAGTCGACTGGTCAGAAACTTCTGACAAAACGGATGAGTTTCGTGAGTCGACTCATGACAAGCATGAGTCGACTCAACCTGATGAGTCGACTCATATACATGTATGAGTCGACTCACGGGCTGAAAACTGGATGCTTCGATTCTTCGATTCGCCGTCTCGTTTCACGCTTCAACCTGCGTTCCCCTGTGTTGTTTTACACCTCTATTCTCATGCTATCATGAGAATCATCTATCCTCAAGCTCCCATGAGGATCGCTAAGTTCCGAAGAGAAGATACACCCGTATCAGTTTTGCTTCCTCATTAATTGATGTATTTTGTTTTCTCATCCTCTCTTCACAAAAATGGACGGTCATATCACTTACTCTTGAATACTTTTAATTTTGGTGAACCTAACAAAAGTGTTTACTGAAGATTTCAAGGAGCTTTTGAGTTAATTAAAGAGAAAGTAAAAACTAAATTTCTGAGAAAAGGGTGATAAATAAATCATTGGTTTAGTAAGATCTATGAACATAATACAGTTAAAAAATAGTTTTGTTTTTGGAGAAAAGTACAAACTATCATTAGAAATGACACGCACCTCTTTTGCATCAGTTTGTCACGTATGGAATAGTTCATCTTATCTAGACAAGAATATTATTGGCAGCTGTTAATATTTAACCATATTTATGTCACGAATTTAGAAAGGTATTTCATGAATCAACTTTTATTGTTGGGTCCTATAATTTGGAGGATCCATATAGGATTAACCGTAAATGACCATAAAATATCTGAATGTAGTTCTTCCTAAGAATATTTTTTTGCTCACACATTATATCTAGCCAGTGGCGAAGCCAGGTCTTTGTCCCAGTAGTGTTACTATATAGCTTATAAGTTCATTGAAGTAGGCAATCTCTAGCATTGTCCTCTCTAGTGGTGTCTTGTCCTAGTCTTAACGGTGTCAAAAGTAGTAAATATATGTAAAATTAAGTAAAAATGACTATAAAATAGGCAATTCAGTGGAGACATCACTGAACACTTTGTGGCTTCACCACTGTCTCTGGTTAGTTAGGATTCAGGAGCACCATAGTTAGAGAGCCATCCACAAACTTTTCCTACATAAGAGGCACTAGCAGAGCCACGCTAGATAGACTATAATGGGAGTTGGGGAGAGTGCACGATCTCATGAACGATGGCTCTTGCATTGGTCTTAACTTGTTTAGGATTTCTAATATTAGCTTACCGTAGAGATGTTAACGATCCAGATAGGGTTATATGCAGATATACATGCGGATGCAAAACAGATATAAGAAACCAAATGATATTGAAAATAACATAATTCATATGATACAAGAGAATTCATTAATATCTTCATTTTATCTGAAAAGTTAAGATTAGATCCCTTGATCATCAAAATCTTCAAATCCATTAATCGAAGGATTAAAACAATTACAGTTGCATAACCAATATATATTCGCATATTCCAGACACGGATCCAGATATTTCACTACATGTCTGTATCCGTAACTATATTTTATCAGACATAGATATTAATAACCATATCGGCATCCTAACGATTACAGATGAAGATAAATCCTCAAATATCAGATATAAATATCAGTATTCATATCCACATCCTAAGCATCAGGAACTACC